CCAGTCCCTCTCTCGGGATGGAGTGAGGCTCAGATGTAATCATGCATATGAAGGCACTTTGAACATCACTAAGCACTGTAGCAATGTTTCTGCTTTCAATACTTATAAAGACATGATTCTGTGGGATTTGAAACATTCAAATGTAAAGAGTTTTCTAATCTACTATCCTAGAAGGAGGTCCACTTCTCCTTGGTGTTCTGAGCTGAGTGGTTAGACAGCATTTAAGCTCAAGTCATCAGGGGGAATTTTATTGACTGGAAAAGGGGAATCCAATCAGAGCTTTCAAATGAGTTGGTATGCAATTTAAAGAAAAAAGAAAAATAATTGAGACCTTGCTCTCCTCAACACCCTCTGTGGTGGGAAAATGGAAAGTCCAACGTATCAGAGCTGCTTCATTTCCTAGGAAGCCCATCTCTGACCTGAAAAGCCTCTCACTGCACCACACTCAGAGTTCTAGTAGTCCTGGGGACACAACCAGCTACCCAGGCACCGCAGAAAGGATCTTTAACAATCTCAGCAGCTCTGCCTCCCAGGGAACCTACAGCTGGGGCTAAAATAAACTCCTCATGCTTAGCTCACCTTTCACCTCCCCTCTCTTGTCCTCCCCACCACTGCATTGTGTCAAGACAGTAATCAGAGGCTTTATAAGGAACATTTGTTGGTATCTAGATGCAAGCTCTGGGCTGATTCTTTTACCTCCCTCTCCTGCTCCTTAGCCTTTCTATTTTCAGGTTCAAAGAAAGAAGTTGCTTTTGAGTTCTATACCCAGAATTCGGGGATATAAGATCCCAGTAGTTATAGAACTACTTTCATTTTTGGCTCCTTCCTGATTCACAAAATGCCAATGCTGTATGCCCTGTGCCCAGCTGGTTTCTAAATATTTCACGGTGGGATGTTTTCATAGAGCCACATAAAATCCTATGAATGTCCATGAGAAGATTCTGGAGTTGACCCATTCATCCGGATACACAGGAACCTATTGAGCAGGAACAATTCTCCGAGAGCATGACCTCAAAATGAGATAACTTACATAAATATTCTGTAGGAGCTACTCCATATTTCTTTACAGTTTAAACATTAGCAACAAAGTGCACAACTTAACGCCTTTTGATAGTTTCTATACTTATCACTATCAATAAAGTAGGATAGCTTGGAAAAAGAATACATTACTTTTGTAGAAATTGTGTCAAGCTTGCCTGACCAGATGTCTTTGTTCTTTGATGCCCAGATACAGGGGTATTTTAATCTTATGATTTGGTATAAAGTAAACATGTCAGATTGCACTAAAGATGCTTTAAATTTAGTTAAGTGGATCCTTTCATAGTACAGGGAAGTAGGAAGGAGAGAAAATAAGGTAGCCAAAGGTCAAAAGGTGACCATTTCTTAGAAGTCTTGGAAGAGTAGAATATAAAATTAGATTGGGGGTGGCTCAGTTGGTTAAGTGTCTGACTCTCGATTTCAGCTCAGGTCATGATCTCAGGGTCATGAGAATGAGGAGCCTCAGGTCAGGCTCTGCACTGGGTAAGAGCCTGCTTAAGACTCTCTCTCTCCCTCTCCTTCTGCCCTTCATCCTGCTCCTACCCCTACCCACTCTCACTTTGACATTCATGCTCTCTCTTGAAATTAAATATTAAAAAAAACAAGATTGTTCCAAATAAACATCATTTTAAAAAATAAGAAAAATAAAAATAAAACTAGAAAAGTGGACTTTCCATTAACACTTCCCAATCTAGGCAGTGAAGTATGATGATAACTCCTTCAGCTACTCAGTATCCCTTCAACTGCCTAATGAAAGCACATTACCATTGTTGTCAAAGGACAGTTTGGACTCATTACAAATGAGCCTTTTAGCACAGCTAAAAAAAACTTTTCTTCTTTAAAAGGATTTTCAACTCCACTTCTCACAATAACCACCTTTGTGTGGTTATTGGTACTGACCTATGTAATAGGACACTTTAAAAAAGGAATATATATTTTTAAGATTTTATTAATTTTTTCATGAGAGACACACACACACAGAGAGAGAGAGAGGCAAAGACACAGGAGGAGGGAGAAGCAGGCTCCATGCTGGGAGCCAGATGCGGGACTCGATCCCGGGACTCCAGGATCATGCCCTGGGCTACAGGCAGGTGCCAAACCACTGAGCCATGCAGGGATCCCCAAAGGAATACATTTAAGATGACACAAGAACAGAGATGCTCATTTCTATCCATGCATTTTTCAAAATATCCCCCAATTTTTTTTTGTGGGAACAAGAGTAGAAATTGTGCCCAGCTGAGAACAGGAGATTATGGTCTTAGTTCTGTCCCACATTTACTATGTGACCTTAGAAAAGACACAGCATTTTCCCGGGTCCCTTCTTAAATTTGAAAGGGAGAATAAGAGTGTCCACCTTACCCAATTTATGGGCTGTTATGGTCACAGTGAAGTAATCTGTATGAGTGAAGGTGTAATAGTAAAGCAATGCTACCCAAATATTTGGTCATTTTCATAGCTGACATTGATTATAGACTTAATTGACATCTTACATACATTCACTCAATCTTCACATTAGCTCTGAAAAGTGTTAACATAGCTCCATATTACAGACCAGCAACCAAAGGTTGGGAGATTAAATAGCTTGTCTAAGGCTACTGATAGGAAACTGGATCCACAAATAGGAAGAATACTCACTAAGAGAACCAAGAAAACAGAGCAAAAGATGAGAATGTAAGGACAAAAGATATATTTTTAAAGCATTACAGCAATCATTAGAAAATAAAAATCAGGAATGTTAGAAATTCCTACCCTTATTTTATGGTATACCGTTTTTACATTTTTAATTGCATGTGGGGAGAGGCACCAAATAATCTAATGCTTAGGGCCTTTCAAGGTTTCAATCAAGCCTGCCTTAGACTCACAGCTAATGGCACCGAGGTACCAACTCCAGCCAGCTGACTCCAAAGCCCACACTTATAACTGCTATACTGCATCATGCTTTGTAATAATAAGACTTATTATTACTAAATAAGTTAGCAATAGTTACTAGTTATAATTGTTTTCAGTAGCAAGTAATGCCAGTAATGAAAAGTTTATTCTGTTTTGAAAACAGTAAGCAACCCATAACCTGGAACTAAAGATACAAAGAGATAGGCACACAGTAAGGGTCACTGGTTTTCTTACATATCTGTGGCTTTTAAATGACCATTAAAGACTCTTCAGCAAACTCGTGGCTCAGGGCAAGTGGTGAACATCAATTTAGAAATCTTTGAAATTCCTAATAGAAACAGAGCAAACCCTACAGCCCCTCTAGCAGGGCCATTGATAACATACCTGGAGAGAGAGTGAGTTTTCTGATAAGCAGATGAATAGTTTTTAAGATCTCAGGCTATTTAGATTCCTGTGACTACCCATCCTCCCGAGTTAAAGCATGAAACATTTAAAAATCAGGTCTATTAGTATCTAGTGAATTTGAATGATGATAAGAGTTCATAGTAGCTGCTAACACTTCTGGCTCTCTTGAAAGGCTCAAAGATAAACACATAAGGTCATTTCTGTGCCTTAATCTGAGAAGTACTAAGTGGATGACAAGAGACTCGCAGCAAAGTCTGAGCTAGATATTGTATGGAGACTGAGATGGTAGATAAATGAGTAGGTGGGGCTTTTCATTTCAATCGCTTGGGAATCTTGTATGCTCTTTGTAGATGCTCCTATAATCCTTAAACCAGACACAAGAAGACTCTGGGAATTTGGGGGTGGGGGAGAAACAGAAGCACAATCATAATTACTTGTGATTGGCTTTTATTGAAAATTAATGCTGAATTAGACCTGAAAATTACAGCCTTCAAATCATTCAAAATGCTTGGGCCACAAATAGACAAATTTACTTTATGTATTTCTCCCAAGTGTGATGATTATTATCTAAACAGCTCTTAAAAACTTCCAAAAGTGTGCTTTGGGCTTCCTTATCTCTGTGGCCACTTCACTAATAAAAAAGTGAGAGGATGGCAGTAAGAGAATTATGAGGAGTTTGAAGTGTAGGAGAGAGAGTGAAGTATGGCATCATGCCCACATTAGTGAAAAGTTCAATATTCTGAGCTATTCTCATTGTCCATCCACCAGGTGATAATGCAATTGCAGAACAAAGGTCCTTAGCCAAAGTATTTTCCCTTCCATTCCTGGAACTTTTATGATCAGAGTTCAGGACTCTTTCCCTAGGAGAAGTAAGAGATGAGAGGGAAGTTAAAAGATCATTTGAATGATCTCTATAAAAGATAGCAACCTTTCCTCCCATCGCCCTTGATTTGGCCATCTGGCTGTGGGAGTTCGTTGGCAAATGCTCCTTGACCATAAAATTTAAACAGATGATTAACCCCTCTCCCTCCTACACCAGCATGCTTGGTATTAAATTGCCTACTAGGACCAATCTCTGAAAATCAAGGCACGTTTAGTGTAAATGAAAGAAAAAGTAGCAAAGTCAACCAAATGAATGAAACTTCATCCTTAGTTTTTCTCTCATCATTACTCTGACTTGATGTTTGTCACTTTAAGTTTAGTAAACTTCCTTTTACAGTCTTTCTGAAATCTCTGACCATCTGTACCTTCAATCTCACCTGCCTAAATGGCACTGCAGAGTCCAGATAACAAGTTGATTATTCTATGATTATCAACAATAGCTCATGAAGGAGATGGCGCCCCTTCCCTCCATTGGTCATCATTTGCAATGCCCTGGAAAACCAGTAATTGTCTTTAGTATGAGCCAGTCAGGCAATATTCACCAGGTTGACAAAAAGTGTTCAGTGCATAGTTAGTAAGTCTCCAGAAGCTCCCTACACTGAACTAAGCCCTAAAGGGATACTTCAGAAAATAAGCTGGAAGGCGATAATGCAGAAAAAGATATGAATGATGTGCTTAACATTCAGTGTTTTATGATTTGGTAACAGTCATGAAAAAATTGCCCCTTAGATGTAAGAATGGGAGAGCAAGAGAGAGTATATGGTCATTGAGAGTAAAACGTGTACCTGTGGGATAGTGCTCATTCACTGGCCAGTTGTCCACCTGGAGTGTGGCATTGCCGCCGTTCCTGGTGAAGCGCACCACGTGGTATTTACCATCATTTACAGGGGTTCGCTCCTCCTTGATAGAGATGTCAACTGTGCCAATATTGAAGACAACTCCAATTTTCCCCTGTTCCTATGATAAAGAAACACAAAAGGCATAGTTATCACCAACCACAAGGTTTTCTCCCTTTAAAGTTGATCCTCCAACTAGCAATAAATCTGTAGGTACCCAGAGGGAGCTGTCAGCATGAAGTTAACAACAGTATCCTACCTTCCTCCATGGGCTTTCATCCCAAACATAAAAACCAATGGTATAAAGCCACCCAAATTGCTCTCACAGGCTGCACTATGCAGGTTACATCATTTGACTGCTCTCAACAGATATGAAAGCTTGAACCACAGAACTACCTAAGAGCTATGTAGTGACACTACAAAGTTCATTTCTGTGAGATGAATTAGGCCTATTTTCTGGGAGAGACAATTAAACCCTGGACCCTAGATTATCTCACAGTTTACATTTAGAATTGAAGAGGAAATATAAGGATCCTTGCACACTTTGGGAGGAACAAGGCCAAGGGGGTGGGATATTGTGAGTGATTAGGAGGCAATGACAGAGGGACTAGCATTATAGATCACCACTTGGTGATATTTTTTGTAGGTCTAAAAGACATAGAAAATGTATCCCCAGTAGAGGCCAGTGAAACTGAGCTGGGGTTTTCAGGGTCAGATGACCATCACTCTTCCCACACTTGTAGCCCTATTCCTAAGATTCATCCAGAGAGGGATGTGATAGTCAGTGCTATAGTTTTATACTACATAGCAGATGAGAAACTCAATGTCCCCAAAATAGAGTTCTGCGAGGGACAATACAATGAATTCCAGAAGAGTAATACTATAAAGGTGATGATTATGGTGAAGGTGGAGGTGGTGGCATCATCTGCCTTCTACAAAGTACCCAGAAACACTGAAATGTAAATAATGCTATTAAAATTCTTACTCTTCTCCTTTAGTAATTGCTTGTAAGAGTCGGAATTAGGATTCACAATGAGACACACTATGAAAGTAACCTTACTGATCAGATACGATCAGTCTCTCTCAACCTCTTGGAATGGTAGCACATCATGCAGGGTGTCAGGAGGGATGGGAGAGAAGGAGATATCTTTCTCCATTTTTCTAGTTGTCTGAATTACTGGCTAAGCAACTGATTGGACATTCAAGGATGATAAAATTTAGTAAGAACTCTGACATTCCATTTGTTGACATAGTCTCTGTTATCCTCTATTTTCTTATTCAAAAGGTAGAAGCAGGGACACCTTGGAGGCTCAGTGGTTTGGCACCTGCCTTTGGCCCAGGGCATGATCCTGGAGACCCAGGATCGAGTCCCACATTGGGCTCCCTGCATGGAGCCTGCTTCTTTCTCTCTGCCTCTCTCTCTGTCTGTGTCTCTGCCTCTCTCTCTCTGTATCTCTCATAAATAAATAAATAAAATATTTTTTAAAAAAGAAATAGAAGCATAAAAAAGGAGGAGGAGGGGGAGGACAGACAACAAGAGAAGGAGGAGAAGAATAGGAAAGAAAGAAAGAAAGAAAGAAAGAAAGAAAGAAAGAAAGAAAGAAAGATCCAGAAGCCATATAAACTAAGATGTATTTCATGAAAACTCAGATTTAGTAACTAGGTTCATTAGTTTATAAATAAAAAAATCATTCAAATACATAAAGACAATATTTATGAAACACTTATTTCACTTAAAGTCAGTAAATTAAGACTTCTGGTGAGATTTTAGGCATGGGTTTCCATATAGTTTGTTACGCTTCACTTATTTTTTCAAAAGACAGGCTTTCTTCATCTTGCCAATTTTCATTTAGTATGTGAACACATCTTATTCCTGACAAAAGAATGGAGAAGTACCTAGGAGTCTTGATTTTAGAAAGTAGGAGTCTAAGCTAAGAAAGGCTGCTTTCAGCATGCAGGGATGCTGTGATATAGGATGGACGTTGCCACTTCCTTTGTGCCCTGCTAGCACAGCATGTAACGTAAAATGATGTCTGCAATTCCCATGTTCTGTTCTCTGAAAAAAGGAATGCAGGTGCCTCCCCAATTGGGGACTAAATGTACTTATGATTTCGTAAATCCCTGTTTATTGTGACACTATGTTCTCAGTTTTTGTTTTCCACCTCTACATCCCCAGCACTAAACAAAGCACCTAGCATTAAAATGGATAAATGAAACTGATGATAGTTCCTTTGCTTCTTTCACGCCCAGAATTAAGAATGTTATGATCCATTTTATTCTTTCTCTTAATTTTCTAGGAATTCAGAAATGATATTATGATTTTTCTGCTTTCCCCTACGTAAAGCACTGGCATTCATTTCTAAAGGTGTGTGTGTGTGTTAGAACCTACTCATCCTTTGCCTAAATAAGCAAGGCTATAGTAACCTGAGTCATAACCTGTTTAACAGAACGAGAGAATCAGAAGAGTTAAGAAACCATGACTGCAGACACCATTACTTCTCTGCCCAACCCGCATATGTGGGCTGTTTATTGCACCACTATTCTTCAATGAGAAACCACTATATAAATCCTGGATGCAGAGAAAGGGCTGCTGGTGATTCAATTCACCTCTGAGTCACTAATTAATCATGGATGGAGAACAGTTTTAGGCAGAGAGAGGAGACCTTTAAACCAGCATTCTGCAGCTTTCCAACAACAGCAGTGGCAAAGTACAGTTCTGGCTCAGTGAGTTGGCTGATCAGCGAGATGTATTCTTGGGCAGATTTTCTGCAAGATCCATAATAGATTCAGGGGAAGAAAAGATTTAATCTCTGCCAGAATAAATATTTGGTCCTTATCTGAGGCGCCACACATTTGCCACTGCAATCACTGCTTCGGAGAGATCTTCTTAATCCTGCTAGCGCTACTGCCAATGTCAGTGGAGACCCTTACCCAGATATTTCATTGTGTTTCCCCAAAGTGGTAAATGTGGCTGTGCTAGACCTCAGATGTGGTCTCTTTACTTGCAGTAATAAGATTTCATTACTGCAACCTCCTTGTCATTTGTCATGGGACCACAGTGGCATTATAATCTGTGGCTAACTGCTTTGTCTCAGTTCATTATAAGTCTTATGGCAAGTACCCATATAGTTGCCAAGGCTTGAATCCATCATGCTCAGCTGCCACGAAAATAAACTAGCTCACGCGTCCAGAGAAGAGATGATTTGAGGGATAAAAAGCATTGACTTTGGAAACAGCCCTGACTGACCTTTGGGCAGGTTACTTAAGTTTTCTGAACTATTTCTTAATAATATATTATGGGAAGAGGATACTAGCTTTCCAGACTTCCCAGGGCCATTACATGGCTAAAAGGATAGGATTACAATGATTAACATGACAATACTTTATAAGTCATAAAATATTATTCTAACATAGGGGATAACTGAGATCAGGAGAAAGAACAACCCAAACATTTGACCATACATCACACCCTGTGAGCACTGGAGAAGTTAATTGGTTCAAGAGGATAAACACAGTTCTAGCATAGCGTGGTTCAAATAATACCTCTCTCTGGCTCCGAAAGCTATATGACCTTGGGCAAGCTATTTAACTTCTGATTTCCTTACTATAAAGGGATCTGTGGAGGAAGGGAAAGGCGAATTACTACCTTTGAAGCTTGTTGCAAAGATTTTAGGAGAACACATATGTGTGAAATTCCCTGCACGTGGCTGTGCATACTTCAGGACTTCAATAAATGTCAGTTATCTTTTCCCTTTCTTTCCTATCATTAGTATAGTTGGAAGTGGTGGTCTGAGCTAAGGACTGGCTGGATTGGCAATAGTGTCATCAAGAAATACTATAAAAATAAATGTAAATTTTAGCAAACAACATTAAAAAACAACATTTGCATGGTTGATTTCCTGTCACAATGTAGTAGTTGCTCTCTCTTCACATTCTTTGGTGTCTTTTATAAGCCTTTCCAAGACAAGCAAAGTGTAGCTGCAAAAACAGCATGACTATAAATTTTAATAACTCCACACCCATCACCACTAAAGTTGCTACCAAAGGCAATCACTTCAATCTATGTTCTTCCTTGATATTAAAAGCACAGACAAGTGGTAAATCAGAAGACATTACCAAAGAATCCTCAAGTGCAATAAAAAAAAAAGTCTGTTAAAAAAAAACAACAACCCCCAAACAAGACTGAACAGCACAACAAAACAGCTGTCTGTAAATAGCCAGAAAGTCATTCTTCATCAATAAGGACTTTTTATGAGCCCACCTGGTTTCTCAAATTAGTCTAGCTCCAGCTTTCTGATGTTCCATCAGCCACATTACAGTTATTGCTATAGAGGTGACCCACCAGATACTACCAACACTAGGGTGAGATTTCAGGAGCAGAGATGCACAAGGGCAAGAAAAATCCTCAGGAATAAACACCTCCCTGAAGGCAATCTCTTCATTCATTCCACAGTGCCCCTGAGGGAGGCAGAATGCATCATCCACTATTTCAGAAAATTGCAGCTGACAGAAACAGAACTGGGACTCTCAAAGGTATGCCCAAGAGATGTGCAAAGGAAGCAGTTCTCAATATCTTGACTTCTAGGCTTCCCACAGAATCTGTGAGTTCAGTGCTAGGCAATAATACAGGAAGAACAAGAGGTATGTGATCCTTCTTGGGGCTACATACTGCTAGGTCTGCTGTACGCATTTCAAAGTCTGGGTCAAAATAAATAAAGCAATCAGTGGCAGTATTTGCTATGTTTTCTAGTTTCCCCCCATTATGGGATCATAGTAAGAGAGGATTTCTAGGTCCTCTATCTCGACCAAGAGACCAGTGTTGACCAATAAATTAGGTGTCACTTCTGAGTCGTGCATTAAACTGCTGGTGTGAGACCAACCAGAGTTCTCTCACTGGCTCTCAACCACTGTACCCAGGAAATTCCTAGCAGTGGCCTCTTTGTCAGCTTGGGTCATTGAGCGAGGATGGCAACACACCAACTTGCAATGGACATGGAACATGAGAAACAAAGTTTGATTGTTTTATGCCACCAAGTATTGAAGCTGCTTATTACTGCAGCATAATCCAGACTACCTTGGAGAGCAGAGTAGGTCCTTGAAAAGTCCTTTTTAAGAGAACAA